GGGATGCACCGGCAGCCTCGGTGATATTCAGACAGGAGTTACTGTTGTGACTTTTGATTTCCAATGGATGTATGGAGAGGGGTGAGTAAAGCATGGCTGTGTCGAGAACTGAAGGTCCAACAGTGGTGTTCACAAACTGGCCAGGACTGGGACCCCCCCTGGCTTGGAGCTCCCTAAATGGCTGCGGGATGGCCCCATGTCCCTGGAAAATCCTGATGAGCTCTGCCAGAAGGAAAGCACGGGAGGCTGAGAAAATAGTATTGCAGCAAGTGATTCCAGGGACAGAAATGAGAGTATGTGCCCCAAGGCAAATATTGTGACTATTTCACACTTACGGTGTGGTGATGCCTGGAGTCTTCCTCTAGGTACTGGCAAGGCTGTACCCAAATGTGCAGCAGATGCTGGATGCTTGGGATTTTGTTCAGCTGCCATCCTGATCAGGAGAGGATGCAGAAAACCAAGTGCCATGAGACCTGCAATGCAATTGTCGGAGCTGGCAAAAGCAAGGAGATCAAAGAGGCAAGTTAGTCCCGTAAAAGGGCAATAATGAGCGCTCTCGGCTGGCTGCTTGTTTCAGATACACGAAATGTCCCGATGGGATGAGGGTCAGAGCAGCAGTTTCTCATCACCTTGAAGGACGGCCCTGCAGGACAGCTTGTCCTGGCTCCTGCAGGAGAAGATGCTCTTCTTGGCTGATCCCCAAGGAGGGGTCTCCTGCATGGCCGGGGCTCCCCGGTTGCTGTGGGATGAGGGACCTGGTGCTCTCCCACATCCACATGCTGAAACGGGACAGGTTTGCTTGTGTGCAAACATGCTGGGACCTCTCTGCCTCGCGAAAAAAACGGGATTGCTTCTTACTTTGTATTCCGTAGCACATAAGCAACCCAGAAGAAATGCAGCCCTGTCAACACTTTCCTAGTGATATGAGCTTATTTTTTTTTTCCTGCCTCCCCTACTGCATTATTCACGACCATAAAATATTCACCAGCCTCCCCTCTTCCCCCCCTGCACGGCAAAACAAACCCCCAAACAATAATTCAAGCTCCTTTCCTTCCCATGTCTTGCAAAAGGCTAGGAAATAAATTTCTTGCCCTGGGTTGTTTTTATAGTGAACTTTCGTAGCTAGATTTAATCATGGAGGCGAATTTCACACTGCCTTGAAATGGACCCATAAACTTAGCTCAGCATCAAATTCCTCCTTCCCCAGCCTGCCCTTCCAGCTCTGCTCTGCCGTGTCCCCAGCTTCACGGGGCTCCGAGGAGGAAAGCTTCGCCACCAGCCAAACCACATTTACAGTGTTTTTCCACAAGAAAGGCCAAAGCTGTACAGATCGGGCTAACGTTGTACGAGCTCCACATTGTCACCCGGAAAGGGTCAAATCCTGCCTGAGTCATCCTTCATCAGGCAGGGAGTCCCTGGCAAGGCAGGGCATTGCTCTCAGGGGTAGAGGTGGTGCTGGGGAGGCAGCGGGATGCGAGGGTTTGGGTTTTGTTCGCTTTGAGTGCGGGCAAGTCCTTGGGCGTTGCGATGGGAAGGTGGAACCCCAAAGTCCTGTACATTCACCAGGGATTGTATGGTCAGTCCTGGGGCCACTTGTCCAATTGGGTTTCATTGTGTGGGAGATGACCATAAGGCACCGCAGAATCCGCTGGCTCCGACCTGGGTCCAAGGTGTTCTCCTCCTGTCCTGGGAGAGCTCAGCCAGCACCACAGATGGGAAAGGAGCTCACCAAGAGGAGGGAAATTGCTGCAGCAACTCAGAGACCAGGGCAGCGATTTGGGTCACACAACAGCCTGCTCCTTTACCTGGTTCCTCTTCTCTCCCCATCAGGACACTGATGGGATTGTGTCTTCCAGCAGGCAGAGAGCAGAGCTGCCATCACCACCTGTCCCTTTCAGAGAGGCTGCTCAAGTGCCAGGTTTTGCTCACATTCACATGGATGGGATGGTGCAAAGAGAAGGTCCAATGTGTGCTTGGAGAGGTGCTTCAACCCAGACAATGGCATAGGGATGCTCTTGGATCATGGACACGTCTGAGGAATGCAGATGTGGTGAAATCAGCCTCTGAGCCAGGGACGTGAGGTATCACTGGAGAGGAAGAGGCACCTGTAGGATGTTTCATCCTCTCCCTAGCTGAGCATCAGGACAAGAGGGCATAGTCTCAAACTGCGCCAGGGGAGGTTCAGGCTAGAAATGAGGAGGCATTTCTTCACAGAGAGGGTCGTTAGGCATTGGAATGGGCTGTCCAGGGAGGTGGGGAGTCACCATCTCTGGAGGGGCTTAAGGAAAGACTGGAGCTGGCACTTAGTGCCATGGTCTAGTTGACATGGGGGTGTTAGGGCAAAGGTTGGACTCAAAGATCCCAGAGGTCTCTTCCAGCCAAATCGATTCTATGATTCCGTCATTCTGTGATTCTGAGCATAGACGGGGTGCCTGAATTACCCCAGCAAGGGGCTCGTGGTGTCTCGCTGTGGTGCACACCACAGGAGAAGGGTCTTCTTCCATCTTGCAGACCCCAGATGAACCTTTCCATGACCATGGTGAGGTCATTTGGCCGCCTTCTGCTTTAGACATGGGTACATGGTTCCTGGGGGCTTTCTCCTCTGGATGACTAGCAACCTTTCTGCTGTGCAGGACTCAACCAACATATGGGAAAGGGAAGAATCACCATAAGCTCTTTCGCTTTTTAGCAGTTTTAATTTAAAATGACTTATTAGCTGGGAAAACACAACCCCCCCCTTGGATAAACATACATTTTAATACATTGCGATGAGCGGAGAGGGAGGGATGGAAGTTTCCATTGACTTTATTTTATTTTTCTAGATTATAGAATATTTAAAATGCATAAATAAAATGCTCCGTTGCAAAAATGCTGGTGTGTTTTTCCAAAGCAAGACGGGGAATGGAGCTAAATTGAAATATAACCATCCAGAGTGATCTCTTAAAGTGAAACCAGTTTCAATGGGATTTAAGTGCCCACAGTCTCCCTGCTTGAATATTTATGTTCTTATGGAGTGTGACACATTCTTCCCCCCCGCCTTTTTTTTTTTAATAATGCACGATATAATGAATCAGAGTCTTGTAGCCACCGTGGTGAATTTATGGTGCTACGTATGTGTCATGAATGATGCTGAAGTTTCCTGGTTTTAATTAAATCTGTTCCGTTTATGATACTGCCATGTTGCAAGAGTGCGGCAGGAGGCATTGCCCACAGGACACACCTCTGAGCCTGTGTCAGCAGACACCGGCCGTGACTCTACCTCCTCTTTGTGAGCGTTGGCTGGAGCCAGAAATAACAAGACTTCGGCTTTCTGTGCCTCTCTGTCTCTCTCCTTCTGTCCCAACACTTCTTAGTCCTAACTCTCAGGCATCTCGTGCCATCCCAGAGGTGGTATTAGATCCCTGTTGGGAAATGTTACTGGTTGCAACCACATAAATAACAAATTTTGTGGCGTGGGCACATATCCACCATATATTATAATGATGCGACCGCAAACTCATTGTCACAGTAATGGGATTCAAACCATCCTTGTTAGAGAAGTCTAATCTAAATGTTCCCCCCGATGGCTTTTTGGGGAGTGTTGGTCTGACTGTCCAGAAGGCAAACCATCTGCCTTGCTGTTGACCTACCCACAGTAGTAACCGGGCCACTGCAGTTGCAAACTTCTCATGAGTGGGTGTTTTGTAAATCATCTCCTTTCCAGAAAGCAGAATTCGCTGCCTTGTCCTAGTGCTGAGCTCCCACACAGATGCTGTCCCCGAGGCAGTGGCTGTTACTTATTACTGTGGCCAGATTGCAGAACTGATGGATGGCAGCTCCTGCACTGCACAAGGGCTTGGTAAATGCCGATAATCAGAAGAGATGCTCACAGTGTAATTTTCATTCCAGGTGCTTTGCAAATAGGCTTCTGGGATTGCTGCAAAACCTTTCCACAGGTTGTCACAGCAGCTGTAGTGGCAGGGAACAGACAAAAAACAACAAGAAGGCCATATAGACAGTGACAGCTCTCACATCATAAGGACTGAAATAAGGTGTCGCAGTGCCACTGCTCAGTTGGTTGTACAGAGAACCAGGCTGTGGTCATCATGACTTGCTGGTGCTCTGAATCTCTCCTTTCTTGCACTTAGATGTAGTAATAAATATGGCAAACATGTATGCAGCTTGGCAGCAGCCCAGTGTAATATTAACAGCAGATCTGCTGGGATACCATGTCCAACTCTAGCATTCACCTGTCCTGAGGACGAAAATCTGGGAGATGTGCAGAAAAGATGAACAAAGTCATTTGAGAACTGGGGAACTCACCACACAGTGAGCTGCTATGAAAGCCTCAGTCTCTTTCTTTACATATTCATGCTTAGTAAGTAAAGTCGGGAACCATAGGTTACCCGCAGGTGGTAGAGGTGTTTGCTGGTCTTGAGTTGACCAACTGCAAGCCAACAGCTTACGATAGACCTGGCAGCAGATCAGAGCTGTGGTGCATCCAGACTTGTGCAGGGCTCTGGCTGCTGGCAGAACTGGGCTGAGAGATGGGCAGAAGGGGAAGGGATGTATTTTAATTGGCTACCATAAGTGCTTATTTTAATGTTATTCCTATATGTTTCCATTAATTAAGAAGAAGGTGAAGTTTGGCAGCACAGGCACTCAACACTCATCGCTCTCTTCACCTCAGAGAGTCACCCTCATCTAAATCGTGTGAATACGATGCTGTCACCCAAAAACCCCTATTTGCAAGCTCATGGTGCCTGTTTGTTAAAACATTGTCACTAAATGAAGGCACACGTTGATACCAACTCACCTTCCAGAAGCATCTTGGGTCCAAGAACTGGCCAGAGCCAGTGGTGTCCTCCTGTGGCTCTGGCCATGCAGAGCTGGAGCAGGACACACCAAGAACATTGTGGTACAGGACTTCCACTGCTGGGAGATGAGGGTAGCCAGGCTCTGCCCACTTCTACTAACAAGGCTTTTGTTTTTCCTTGGTTTCTTTTCCGGCGTTACTTTAGGAGCACTTCTGGAGCTTGGACAAGACAGAAAACAAGATTCCACCACAGCTGATCTTCCAGATCTGGGACAATGACAAGTTCTCTTTTGATGACTATTTGGGTAAGTTGGGAGAGGTTTTTGGCTCCATCTCTGCTGATGCAGACAGGAAGGAATAAATTACTGAATCCTTTCAGGATATGAAGAAAGTGTAACAAGACCAGTTTAAGCCGCTGAATAGGATTCAGTGTCAGCATAAGTTCAGGACTGCTGATAAGTGGTTTGTGTTAGGCAGATTTCCAGTCTCAGCCTGCGGCAGCCTGTTCCTGGGCTGACATAAAGTTGAGAGCATCACCAAATCCAACACAGCCACCACCTTCCAGGAAGGTCCCAATTCTCCGTGACTGAACTGAGTCTGTGCTGAAATGTTCTCATCAGGGCTAACCGCGTATTTGAGCTGAGACCACCAGGCAGGATCACTGACCTGCCTTGCCTTACCTTCGTGTTTAGACAGGAACACAACTCGATCCAACATTTACCTTTTTCAGTGCTAGCCTCGTTAATCATCCTCAGAAATCTGAGTTTAGGTCAAGAAGAAAAGAAAACAAAACCCTCTAATAGGAAGGATAGCAGAGCCGTGCAGCAGACTACCTGTGCAGAAACGGGAGGCTTCAGCATTACGAGTTTTCTGATTGGATCTTGTTCTATCTTTCTTTTTGCCACTTAAAAAAAAAATCAAAAACTTCACTGAGGAAGTATGTGATCAAGATCCTTTTAAATCCTGCCTTTGATTAATTACCGAGGATGAGTGCTGAAATAACCTCTCCGAGGTGCGTTTTCCAGTTCTGGCTCTGCACGTCAGGAGCTCTTGACTGCCAACCCTAATTCTTTGCAAATTCCAGCAAGTAAAAGTGGTCCTTGGCTTTTGCAAAGTGCTTTTCATCAACGGACTTCAAAAATGTTTCACAACAAACCTGATCTGTGCTGTTATTGCTGCTGGTTGCAAGAATCTGTGGCACAGAAAAGCTGCAAACACAAGAGTGATATTGAATGTGAGTCGTCCACGGTAGTGGAAAAGCTGCCGTCCCTCAGCTGAGCCACAGGACCAGACCCTGTGTACGTCCTTGGCTGTTCCCAACTGTAAGGTAGCTTGGTGGAGCAATGTAAATTAAATACAGGCACTTTCAACTGACACTTGGAGAGCTGAGCTCGGATTTCCTAAAGGCTGGATAAGTGCGCTAATTACCGGATCATGCTGACTGAGAAGGAAGCTATCAATTTTGTGGGATATCCTTCATATTTGGTCTGCTGCAATTACTGACCTGCGTGGGGCAATTAAATAGCCTATTTGGAGATCTACAAGCCTCCTGCCCAATGCTCTTATACTGACTGCCCTCTGGGTGCGTACAATATGAGTTTCACCTAAATCTCTTAGTCTTCGTTGAAAATCTCAGCCTGGGTGGTTGGCTTCAGTGCAAATCATCCTACATTACAGCTGCGTACGTCAGCAGATGTTTTGCAGCATCTTCGAGAAGTTGTTCGTGGCTCAGGTCTTCCCAAGCACAATGGTGATGCCAAGTGTTGGATTTCTAGGAAGAACCACTGGCTAAAATTAATGTTATGCTTGGGAAGAGGCCAACACTTGAGCCTGCTCTTCCCCTTGCTATTGTATGGGTGTCTGCCCAAGCTCCCTGAGGTCAGGCAGGTGCCACAGTGAATATTTCTTCAGGGAA